ATAATAATAATAATAATAATAATAATAATAATAATAATAATAATAATAATAATAATAATAATAATAATAATAATAATAATAATAATAATAATAATAATAATAATAATAATAATAATAATAATAATAATAATAATAATAATAATAATAATAATAATAATAATAATAATAATAATAATAATAATAATAATAATAATAATAATAATATGTCCACTACCACCTGGAACATTCATTATCTCAAATCCAGCTTGTTCACATTGATTGTGTCGTGTGTATGTAAATACTTTATTGTGAATACAGTTGACTGTCATCTTTTGGTGTCGTGGTTTGAGACATTAGGCTCACTGATGAGGTAATAGTTGCCCTTTCTGTCGGCTATCTCAGGAGCTAGCACGATAGGAGAATGGGTGAAATTCATAACTACTACGGGACTAGCGAAATACACTCATTTGGAAACTACAGGACTACTTCACAACTGTACCGACATCCTCACTTCTAGTGAGAAGAATTGGATGGCTTTTGACTACCTGGTAACATATCACATCGGAGATCAAATTCAAAATTTATGCCACTTAAATATTAAGAAACACCGAACACCCTGAAACCTAGAGGTGACGTCCTCTTAGCCCAACCACATAAAGGTTCTGGAACTGTACCACTGAATAAGACTGATGCATGAGAAATACGTGTTAGATGTTCTCGGGCAAGACAAAGTTTATCAGAATACAAGGAAAAGACTGCATGGGAGAACAGAAGGACAAATAACGGACTGTCTAAAGCGGATAAGCGAAGGGTGTAACACCAGTAAGGTATACGAAAATCTCAGACCGACTGGCAAGGCAATTCCTCGCATGAAGGGCTAACCAACGCTCACAAAACGAGTTGCATTCTGCATCTAATTCTTGACATTCGCAGCTCTTCATAACATGCAACTGCCTGACTGCTTAAGGAACAGCCTAAGCGACACCTTCGAGTTCATTGAGTACGTACAAAATCTCTAAATTAGCAACGAACCTATGCATCTCCTGCATACTACATTCCATTTTAAAAATGTTCTCCTGTTTGAATTGACAGGCTTCTGACTAATTTCATCTGATAATTCCACTAATTTACCCGTGCTCACAAACTGATTAAAGGAATTGTTCTCACGATGAATATTTAGTCAACTGGGGTCCAGTCCAGGAGGGTATTTTCAGGCTTGGGGTTAAGTGCAACTCTCACACCGTATGTACCACCAGCCATTGCGTCAGGATCACTGGATGCCCGAAGTGTGAGATGTGGAACATCTGACCTCGTCCTAAGCGGTTTGAGGAACACGACCGAAGTGGGTTCTTGTATGCCTGTTTCGGGGACATAACATACATCGACATGGGGGAGGCAAGGTTTTGGCAAGGGATTCCTGTTGTTCAATTTGACATAAAGTATGGACAATAAAGGCTGCAACGTGGATCACGTCTTTTGAGGGTAGCAAGTGATCATTTTGGTTTATTATTTTGGGGTGAAGGTTTGGAAGCGAAACAGAGGCTAGGGGACTGACAGATGGGTTGATCGCACTGCATCACCCGGTGGGTGGAAGGGGTGTGAGAGAGGGCCGGTAAGCGAAGAGCTGCAAGGGCGAATGCTAGATCCCGGTTGCCCAAACTGAATAAGGGGGTTTGGATGAAGTACCATACATTGAGCATTTGATTCAAAAGTCCGACCCAAAAGGCAGTGAAAAGATTTAGGGTTTTGTCTCGGGATCCTGACCCCAGCTTCTGATTCACAAATCCAACCCACGAGACACAACTTGTCAGGGTTTCCTTGGGGACCCGTGCCGGAGCCAAAAGCTCGACAGCCCGACCCACTTGGTTGTAGGGGGCGGCCAGGCCCGAGGACACCGGGAACAAAGTGTTTCACGCCTAACGCAGCTGCGCACAGCAAGTGTCTTTTGAGCAGCACCGGATCCTTCGGTTTTAAAAATATTACGACCGTAGTGATTAATTCACGGGCGGTCACGGTCATCCGTTGGGCGATCGGAGTGTGTGGTTTCCAGAGCCAACCTTTTCTAACCCGTTCTTCCTCAGGGCTTCCACAAATACGAATTTTCTGGTCGCCTGGGAGAAACGCTTTACTGCATTCACCCTCCTACTACAGATGACAGTACGGTCTTACCTCCGGACCACCTCATAATACGATTACTCGAAGTACGGGGACTCGCTGTTCTTCGTCGGGCTGCTCCTCGTTGATCTTCCCTACATGGCTGAACCTATAGGAACTGAGTGGCGGCCACTATAGCCCGCAAGGTAATTACAACACAGAAGCCAGACCATCGCGACGGGGTGACAGCTTTAGGCCAGGATGCATTTTCAGATAGTGCATCTTGGTCCCAATGAACACTGTTTATTTACGCAGTTGCTATGCGTCAGCAGCAGGGCATTTAAAACTGTTACACATCGCTGTGAGATGTGGAACATCTGACCTCGTCCTAAGCGGTTTGAGGAACACGACCGAAGTGGGTTCTTGTATGCCTGTTTCGGGGACATAACATACATCGACATGGGGGAGGCAAGGTTTTGGCAAGGGATTCCTGTTGTTCAATTTGACATAAAGTATGGACAATAAAGGCTGCAACGTGGATCACGTCTTTTGAGGGTAGCAAGTGATCATTTTGGTTTATTATTTTGGGGTGAAGGTTTGGAAGCGAAACAGAGGCTAGGGGACTGACAGATGGGTTGATCGCACTGCATCACCCGGTGGGTGGAAGGGGTGTGAGAGAGGGCCGGTAAGCGAAGAGCTGCAAGGGCGAATGCTAGATCCCGGTTGCCCAAACTGAATAAGGGGGTTTGGATGAAGTACCATACATTGAGCATTTGATTCAAAAGTCCGACCCAAAAGGCAGTGAAAAGATTTAGGGTTTTGTCTCGGGATCCTGACCCCAGCTTCTGATTCACAAATCCAACCCACGAGACACAACTTGTCAGGGTTTCCTTGGGGACCCGTGCCGGAGCCAAAAGCTCGACAGCCCGACCCACTTGGTTGTAGGGGGCGGCCAGGCCCGAGGACACCGGGAACAAAGTGTTTCACGCCTAACGCAGCTGCGCACAGCAAGTGTCTTTTGAGCAGCACCGGATCCTTCGGTTTTAAAAATATTACGACCGTAGTGATTAATTCACGGGCGGTCACGGTCATCCGTTGGGCGATCGGAGTGTGTGGTTTCCAGAGCCAACCTTTTCTAACCCGTTCTTCCTCAGGGCTTCCACAAATACGAATTTTCTGGTCGCCTGGGAGAAACGCTTTACTGCATTCACCCTCCTACTACAGATGACAGTACGGTCTTACCTCCGGACCACCTCATAATACGATTACTCGAAGTACGGGGACTCGCTGTTCTTCGTCGGGCTGCTCCTCGTTGATCTTCCCTACATGGCTGAACCTATAGGAACTGAGTGGCGGCCACTATAGCCCGCAAGGTAATTACAACACAGAAGCCAGACCATCGCGACGGGGTGACAGCTTTAGGCCAGGATGCATTTTCAGATAGTGCATCTTGGTCCCAATGAACACTGTTTATTTACGCAGTTGCTATGCGTCAGCAGCAGGGCATTTAAAACTGTTACACATCGCCCCATTGCTTCTGTTCACAGAACATTCGATTCAGCACAGCTCATGATCGACTGCTCTAGCACCCGCCTGCTTAAGACAAATCTGAAAGATAGATTACCAGTATACGTTCCTTCAGTGTTTGCGAGCGTTCCGCAAACTATCTGGGGAGCACCACTGTGTGTCTACCCCAGATGATAAGTGAGTATTTACCATAATGCGTTCGAACTAGAGGTGGTAAACACGTTACCAGTGCAAGTGCAAATCAGCCGATCGATAGAGAATACCAAGTCAACCCAGCTTAATCGCTCAGCGTCATTCATTGAATGCCTCCTCATCGTTCAAAGGTCATACGCAAAAACACCCAAAACGGCAGACGCGATTGCAAACAAGTCTCTCTCACGACACCGCAACTTTTCCCTTGCTAAAGTACCACTAGGCTCAACCGTCCAGCCATAATCTCAATCGCGTCCCACGTGATTGACGCGGGGCACGTGACCAAACCGAAAGAGTCACTACCGAGTTCCTAATGGACCATCTGTATCGATCCGACGGTGTGGCCCGACCACAGCCGACGTAGTTCCGATACGTTTGCGAATCTCCGTACTGTGCTGTCAGAAACGAACGAACACACAGATTGCCTTGGTCATGCGACACATATCAACCGGCGCAGTTGCCCAACGACCCTCTAGATCGTCTCACAGTATCGAATCAGATGCGCCGACGACCAGTCCTTTGTGATTCCACATTTTTATTTAACCGCTTCTTCATTGTTGCCACTTATTTAAACCATTAGTTTACTTGTATATACACCAGGAAGAAAAACAGAAGGGTGTATTCAACGATTGCTTCTGCGAACTCACATGGACCACCAGTCTCGTACCGCTCAAATCAAAAGAAAACTGCGTACAATATCTTTTTAACAGAGCCAGCAAAATCTGATCGGATGAGGCTTGCTCAGCGAAGCTGGCAGTTCTCATAATTTTTTTCTAAAATACAGTTGCCAGACAGGCTTATTGAGACGTGTATGCAATCTAAATCTAAGAAACAGCCCACTCACACTGTTTCAAGGGTAGTCGTTTATTTGAGCCTACCTTTTAAAGACGATGAAACCAGCGAAGCAGAGCTGAGAATGTTAGAAAGGCTCAACAAAGCTTTCTCGGAGATCTTTTGAAGTGTCCATCAGAATCAAACAACTGACACCACCAGATGATGTGAACATTTTTCACTGTTCCTCAAATAATCTATGCCAATCCATCTTTTCAGCCAAGTGGATTATCAGGTGACTAAAGAGGAGGAGCTCAAAATCTGTAGAAGAGGAGAAAATTCATACGTGAGTGTGCTCACCTCTTCCAAGTTATGTCGATTTCGGGCGGAGGTTTCTAGGTAGGGAATCTGCCACTTCTGAGCTAACTGTATGGCAGACTCTGCCGGAACAGCGCGTTCATCGACCAAGTCCACCTTGTTTCCGACCAGGACAACTGGGGACTGTTCATCTCCCCTACATTGCACAATTCTCTCCCTGTAACACATAAAACACGGTTGGGCAATTCAATGAACATAAAATCCACAACATGAATTCCGAATTAATCGATATTACTGGAAACATCACGCACAATGAGATCGAATCCACGATCAGTTTCCTAGATGTAAGAAGACCGTGGGGGCCATAGTATTCAGAATTTATAAAGATTATTACTTGAATGGAAAGCAAGAATATTGCTGGAGGGGCCAATTATTATAGTATTTACATTATATTACATTATATTATGTCATATCACATTTTGTGCATAGGAAGGCTTCCCGGGTTTTAAAAACGTAGTTTCCATCTTAAAGGCAAGGTCAGCCCCTGAATAAAAAGGTTATATTCCGCATGGTTGTTGCACCTCTGTTTAAAATCATCATCCGTAATGATTTCACAAATCCCTAGAGCTGATGGAACGATTTTTTGGTGGTCTGTCATATCGGCCACTGGAGGACGTCCCATTTACATGAAGGTGTTATGACGCACGTGGTGGCTGGAACAAAAACCGAAATACAGCTATTCTCCTATGTTAGCTCACATATATTTCATACGGTCTGCCATTGTCTCAAACTGGATACCGTCGTCGGATAGAATGGTTACTATAGTGAGGGCGAAGATGAAAACTATGGCAACAGACGGCGGTAAAACACGTAGGAGGTTAAATTGCAATGAAGTTACGTAAGTATCAGAGTAGCTGGCGTTAGTAGGATATCGAACTCCACAATGGAGAGGTTATTTTTAAAGCTTGGGACTATGCTGAAACTACATGTGGTTTACATCCCTCAACACAGTAGATAACGGACAGTATAGAAAAATATGCATCTAATTTTCCAATACAGATGAGAAGTCTACTGATATCAGTATCACTTTTTTCATCATGCAAGATAAAAATGATAAACTGGAGGAGGATGTAAGCTACTGTTACGAAGAACGAGTATTTCTTTAGATATCGTACCAACTTTTGTCAAAAACGGTTGTGCACACCTCCCAAGATTAACCCTTCGCTTGATTCATATAGCAACCGTTGAATAAATGGAACTTCTAGGTTTTCGAAAAAGTTTGGCGATAATCGGTAGGTTCAATTGGCGTCATCGTTGTCGGATTGATTTGTGAGTAGGTTCTGGATCGATTTAATTAGTGCCCACATCATCATTATTTTAACGGTTCAACACCAGTCCTGACGAGATTATTTTAACTACTCTGTATCCGGTAAAAAACCTGATCACTACCGTTGAATAATGGAACTTCTAGGTTTTCGAAAAAGTTTGGCGATAATCGGTAGGTTCAATTGGCGTCATCGTTGTCGGATTGATTTGTGAGTAGGTTCTGGATCGATTTAATTAGTGCCCACATCATCATTATTTTAACGGTTCAACACCAGTCCTGACGAGATTATTTTAACTACTCTGTATCCGGTAAAAAACCTGATCACTACTTCTCTTATTTGAGCTCATCAACAATGAATAATGTCGTTTGCACGGACGTCCGTGTCTTGCGAGAAATTGCGCTACAAAACGTCCACAAAAACTCGCTGAAAACATTCATATTATCTCTCAACGGGCTAATATATTCGTGCGTGGCCAACCCGATGGTTTAAATGACGACCCAGCTACTCTGCTCCCCGAACCAGTTAAACATTCATTTAGAAACAGGGACAATTAGTCGTTTGTATAAACCCCTGGGAAAGGTTGCCCATAGCAACTGGGACGTTGGGCTATAACATCTTATTTCGCTACGCTGTTTTTACTTTAAGAGTTTCCATAAGTTACTTGTTTGGGTAGAAGTGATATGTTACAGGGTTTGTGGAATTCGTATCCCATGGGACACCGTTTGAGGTGTCGGTTAAACACCACTTGAGCTCGAGTAAATTCAGGAGTAATAAGTCATTTGCACTCAACCTGTACAGTGGAAGTCAAGATGACCCGGATGATGTGCAAGTCACGTGACTAGAGTTCACCTCCCAATGGGGTCAAGAATACGCAGCCTTGAAGCCCAACAAGAGTGAAACTCTGACTCGATGGGTTGACCCGGGCAAACAATCGGTTTATCTTTCCTCTCGTGCTGAACAGACTAGGGTTCAACATTTGAAGCGAATCCCGGATGACAAAAATGAAAATACCACGAACTTACTGTGCCACAATTCATAAATTAAGAGTTCGTGTATTTGGACTATGGTGGTCACCTAATCATTGGTAAAATGTTCGAAACTCTTGCCCATGGCTGAAATTTCAAGAAGACCGTTTTGGAAGCCAACCAAGTGGCTCGAATCTCGCGCTTTCACTGTCTGAGTACTAGTTTTGTAACTTATGAGAGTAAGCCAGTTGTGGTATTGCATTTCGCCTTAGTTAGTCATCGGATAGCGGTTATGTAGCTTCATGCATCGGTACTTGAAAGACAAGATGACGTCTGACATCAAAATTAGAGGTCACAATTGTGAAACAATATCTTTAGTGAGAGTACAACTCACAATATCAAAGGCACTGCTTTCAGGGACTCCTTGTCGGTCAGCGAGAATACCACAATGAAACCGTCATTGTTTCTGTAGAAAGGGTCATTGATACCTGCATAATCCTCCTGTCCTGTGTGGAAGATGTTGAAAATTAAATCAGTAACGAAGTTAAACCGACCAGGAAGTTCACTAGGAGTGGAGCGGCTTTGTAACGGTGCTGCTTCTGTGACCTACACCCCAGTGCGCTGGGGAGCCAAGACATACATGAAATTATCAATATTAGTCAATTAACACTGAATACTTTCCGCCGCAAGCCCTTCGTGCGACTCGGGTCTAAAGACCAAACGAGGGGCATTCCAACATTCCAAGAATCGAAGTCCCATCACGTTTAGACACAGGTGTAAAATGTATATAAGTCAAGCAGTATAGCCGACTCAATTTGATTCAGACCTTAAAGTATGCGGTTAGGAATCCTTATAAGGCTCACATGTTGTTTGGGTCACTGCTTCTCTTGAAGATATTGACCTGAGGTGGATTCTGTTGTTTTGACTAGCGCGTTCGATGACAAATCAATGTACCGTAGCTTGTCTGGATGGGTGCATAAAACTTTGTGCATGGATGAGCAGATGACGTTTAACGTTTTCAGAGCATGCACTCAGTTGTATGTGTCTCGTTGCACAGATCGATAACATTTCGGTTGACGGAGGTAGATGTTTTACGAAAAGCACACGAAGCTGCTCAGGGACTCCGGCTAAAGACTCATTAAGCGCGCACTACCGGCCACTCCACATAAGTAAAAAGTATCTACATGATGCACCTCAGCAATTAGTATAGGCTAATTGTATTTCCTCCTAATCAATACTCACTTTCTGCGTTTGTTTTTGAGCACAGATGTGCGCCCAAATTCGAAATTCTAACAATTGGCTTTTTCACCTACCTGCTGTATCCGTGATATCCACCTCCACACAAATATCTTCAATGTTCACTTTTCTTTTGTAAGCGGAACTTTTGGTTGGTTCGTAGTCCTCCACAAACTATGAGGTTTCATGAACAAGCCGTAAAAGCAACGTGACTTACCTCTTCGTACATGAACTGCAGAGTAAGAGCACTTTTTCCAACGCTACCACTACCGAGCATGCACATACGTACAGAAACTGTTGGAACTTGCATCGTCCCCATTAGATGTGCGCAAAGATTTTCCGGATTTAAGGGTGATTCATTGAATTTTTGGAGCAGCTGCTTGTACTGAGCAAGATAAACCAGATCAACTGTAAATGAAAAAAAACATGATTGCACAATCCATGAAGTGGTAATGGTGTAGCCTGTTTTCCATCACAAGAAATAAGTCTCCATGGCTATTTTAAGCATACTTCCCACTGGCCCATTTACACCATATGGTTCAGTGAAACACGGCACAAAAAAGCGATAGCTAAAGTGATCTCCACCACTCAGTGAAACATACTCTAAGTTTCACAAGGAGTCATCAACTACCGGAAATTCTACACTAATGGAGCGGATCAGCACCCTATGAATCAATTGGAGATTTGAACGCATTTAGGTAATGTGTTGAAATATTGGTAAGTTTATTGGTTGTGGATCAGATGGCTGTTGATCTGTTCGCTTGGCTTGTAAACGTTTCGTGACCACACGAGAAGACATCATCAGTACGCAGTTGGGTGCGACCTACCCGACAAAAACCGATTGAATGCATTTAATATGACGCAAGATGCGAATTGCTAGCAGCTTACGCGATGTAGGCGAACGATTTGCACTGCGCTTGTGATTCCCAAAATGGGAGAGAAAGTTGTGCAACGCTTCGCGGCTTTTCAACATGAGATTAAATGTTGATTGAAATTCGAATTGAGTTAACATATAATAGTGCACGGTCTCTGTTCAAAATTATCGACGAAAACAAATTTTCTTGTGGGGGAAATCTGGGAATGAATCGATTGCTTCTGAATACACTTGGTGCCTGCACATTCTTTTGATAAGAGGAGAGGCACCTGGGGGCACCTAAGCTAGTCTGTTGAGGAGTTCCCAAGTGGAACCCACAGAATGTGACTGATGAAGGTATTCTTGGCTGCAGTGGCTTTAGAGTATTCGCTTTCAGTTCCACACGCGGCCAAAAATTAAACATTTGTTTGATACCTCATGTTTTGGGAGGTTATAAATCACAAAATACACAAGTGATTGTATCTGGAAAGTGCCTTAACAAGGTGCTAATGCGTCGCAAAACCACAAATTAATGAATTACATGAAGTGAAACGATCAGTAGATGAGCAATGGTGGTCAAGAAAGGACTGTTATCCAGAGCTGGTAACAGCTGATTACCAAAGAATGTTGGAACGGTCTCAAGTAACAAAGCTTCCTTACGAGCGTGGTGCGCTGTGTTGTAGAATCAGGACTTACAGTGAATACGAAGTTTTGTACACAATACTGAAGCCTCAATCTGTCGTACAGTGTTTGTCGTTTCATAGTGTGTGATTACAGACTGTTGCCAAATTCTTATCGAAAAAACTGTTAGCATGCTCTAACGGCTGATGTCTAATTGTATGCTGCAAAACCTATGGTGACCAAGAAAGACTGTACATAATAATGGGTTTTCCTTTTTGAGCTCTTGAAGAAGCCTTTATGAATTTTGCCTTCGGGCCTTCACCAGGTGCACCAATCTGAAGAAAAATAACTAGACAACATATTGAAGCGTAAAATTCTCGCCCCCGTGGGTGGGATGGAGTTTAATCTCCAAACCAAGAGAGTTGATCAGAGAAACTAGTAGACAAAAAATGATCACGACAGATATAACAAAGAATATGGTACCCATAAATAATCAAGAATCCGTTAGGTCTGTTCTCAGTAACGAAAGGTTTCTATTCAGAACGGTCCCAACCTACCTCTTAATAGTAGGCTTTGAGTGGAGCTTTCTTTCCGCAATATGCAAAATCCGGAACGAGGAAGGAGTTACCTGGAAAAACAACCTGCCTAAATTTTGAACCTGAATTTACGCACCTAATGTCTTGCCGTGACACCGAAATTTGTAGCTGGACACGCAGATGCACGTGAAAAACAGAAACCGTAATTTCTTTTGAACTGTATTCAAACCTTAGAGTGAGTATGGGATTCGTCCCTGGTTACTATTCTAAACCAATATGACTCTCAGACCCGCGAAAATTTGTTAACCTTCTATCTGCCCATTTTGAAGGCGTGGAGTTGAGTAGAACTAACAATGACTTTTAGGCTTATAGTGGTAGCTTGTAATTGACCAACACTAATAGATAGACGAAATCGATTAGGACCGTCACTAACGTGTGGCGACAATGGACAAGGGTTCATCGGATGGAACCTCATGGCCTGTTAAATGTCTAGTCTGATGAGTAAGGAAACAACCGAGTTTGTCAGCTACCGTGAACTTTAGGACTCTACTTGCGAGCAGCCTTGAGACTATCCCTACCCTTCTCTGGATCTGCATCAAAGATATAATTTAATCGAAGCTGGTGGTCTTGAGACGTTTTAAGAGGATGCTATCAGTTTTCAAAAAGATAGTCGAATAGGCGTTCCGCCTAGTGCACACCAAAAGCACCCGAACTATTACATTTGTACACATAAGCGCGTTCGCGCTTGAGTGCTGTGGCTGCTTTGAGCAGTAACTGTTCTGGTTGCACCGATAGCCTCTCGGGACTTTCCAGTTAGATAGCGCAAAAAGTATGTGAAACCTGTTAGACAGTTTCGCAGTTTTAAGTACGAACTATTCATGAACATCAGATATACCATCCCCTTGAGGACGAAACCGTCAAAAAGCCACTCAGGTAGGTATTGAGTAAATAGAGCACTTTTACAGAAGCACACCAGTCTTCTATAGAGGAAAATGTCGGTAGCTCAGGTTTGCTCAGGGAGCACAACAGTCTCTTTTGTATAGAACTCAAACAGCTAACGAACATAGCAGTGGTCATATTGCCGATGAGTTTATGCCGATGATTCGGTAGCGTAAAAGAGTAATTGCCGTAAAATTTTCAAAGCATGGACCCTATAATTAGAAAAAAATCCTTTTAACATGTAGTTTCGATGGGACCTGCTCGGACAGTTACGGCAGCAAAGTGTGAAATAAAGTTCTAAAGTTGCAAAAATTTTCAACATTGGTATGCAACGGAGACACTATTGAATCAGTTTGTTGTGAACTGTCACGGATGGCAACCATTTCTAATGACCTACGGTCAGGCATAAAATTTAGAAAATTATGCACATACTGATCTCATTACCCTCATCAGCTGTAAGAGCAACATGCATGTTATAGTGGTTATAACTACTACAGTTTCGTTCGCCGATACTCTAAAGAAATACGAGCGAATTGCTTTGCAGTGAAGGCAGTAGTTGATACAGTTGACGCGTTAATCTAAGAACGACAGTGAATTTTTTATTAAGATCGGAAATGTACGTACCGGAAGCAACAGCTTGGATGCATGCGCGTCACTGGGCATGCAACTGGGTCATTTATGCCCTTGCCAGTAGCCAGTTATGTGTCCGTCTTGGGAAACTGCAAAGACCAGCTCTACTGAATTTGCTGGAAATGACTTTTCTATTTCACTGCCAATTAACTGTTTAACCACCCATGGTTTATTTTCACCTCCTGGGTGGCTGTGAGGAACGGACCATCCAACGACGCCAGTCGACTGGTTTACGAAGCTCGTGGCCAACCCAGCATAATCTGAGGAGGCTGGTCAGTTCATCATGGAAGAGTTAGGTTTTCAGGAAACCATTCGACATACTTCAGGATTACTAATCCAATGTTCCCACCAGATTCGGTCAATGCCTCGAGGACACCAACAGTAAAACACTTGGGCACGTAATATCTGGGCTTTTGAACTATATAACAATATGGAGCGCGCAGCAGCATTGTAAACTCAACTCTTGCCAAATAAGTTGATGTCATGCCTGCACCACAGATAATGCAGGTTGGCGGAATTCACTTTGACCTTCCGATGTGAACAAAAATATCTTCCCTGGACTGATACAACTAAGCAGATAGGTAGGTTTATCTACTAACTCAATTGGCTCATCTGCAAGCGTGAGATTCTTGTTCGAGCCCGCAAAGTCTTGCAACAGTATCCCAAACTTTGCATATGTGTAAGGCAGCATTAGTTGGCTTATTTATATTGTCTGTATTACAGTGGCATCAAATCAAAAAAGAGCTATGTCATCTGCGCACTCAGTGTCCATATTCGAAGGTTACATTGAGTTCCAATGGAGGACATTGGAAAAGTCGCCTGCACTCACAATCAACCGTTGAGCGATCGGAGTGTTCGGTCTTTAGAGTCTACCTTTTCTAACCGTCCTTCCTTGGGGGAAGGCAGTGTCCCTGCTTTCATAACTATGCTGATCCCCTAGGGGAAACGGCCCTCTGCCATCGCAGCGGACAGAATGAACTTACCCCCCCCCCCGATTGCCTCGTGATAAGATAGGGTTTCAATTCTCCGAGTATGACTGCTCCGCTTTGACCTCCTTGGCATCGTTGAACCTTGAACTGAGCTCCAGCTATGGTGGTCCGCAGGATCACTACAGCATTCAAGCCCGACCACCACACTAAGGTGACAGCTTTGGGTCGCATCATACCATTACGGCTGATTCGTGGAAAGCGCATGGGTGTGGGTTTCATCCGGCGTCCACGGAGCCTAGTTTGTCTATGTGTTGTCTACCGAGCCCTACTACTGGCCACAAAGTCACTTACTATCGTCTACTTTTTGAAGGGAATGGTCACAGACAAAAAATAAGTGCAGGCGATGAATGTGGAAGGGTTACAGGAGACTATTAGATAAAAAGAGAGAAACGTCGCATTCGAACTCATGCCACTAGTCAAGATGAATTCCGACGTATGTAAGAATGTTTGGTACGGAAACACGCGTGTAAAGGCCAACAACCTAGAAAAGAACAAATAGTGCTGAATGCTCTTTGATACGCGGTAAGCGCTAGCACGGTCAAGACTCGCAAATCAGGCACAAAGTGTCCGTCATACTGGGTCTGCTGTGAGATTCAATGGCAAGAATGTGCACTCAGCGCCATGTACCACGCGTAAAAACGTCGCAGGTACGCAGATAGCCCACGGTGGCAAGCAAACACAGGTCACTAACTGTGACCTCAAGGAGTCCCAGTTCAATAATAGGCAAATTCTTTGAAATCAGTTGTGCCATTTTCTGAAACCCTATAATCTTACTTACCAATTCTCGACTGCATTCGCCCAAACAAACGCTACCACTCCACATGTTCGCATACCTGCTTA